TCCTCTTTCGGAGGGGACATTAGAGTGATTGATGCAGGGTGGAGGAGATAATCAACAAATAAATACACAATATGTTGAGTGATAAGCGCCAGGAAGAATAAAGGCAGTAAAGACATAAAAGGGCCACGAGTGATGTTTTATATAGAGGGTCCCAGAAGGACTCTGGGGAGCTATATTTGAGCGAGGCCTGAAAAAAGCTAAGGTGGGAGACATACAGGTAAGGTATCTGGAGAAAGACAACATTACAAACAGCACAACAGGAATGACTCATTACACACAAAAGACTTTTAAATTGCCCTAAATCCCTTCTGGAAGGAGAGGCAAAGTGTAAATCAATCATCAGGGCTTTACCTACCCAACATGGACCAACAACCTAAGAGGAGAAAGAAATGAAACGAATGCAAAGGGTTCTGCAAAGCAAAGAAGGCTATCTAAATATAAGGTAAGGCCATTTACTAGTCACTGGTTTCCAGGCAACAATCAAATATGCATCTGTACTTGAAGGCCTTATCCACAAATAAAACTGGTGCTGCCTGAGTTCAAAAACTAATTCAAATGCTAAGAGAGTCCCAGGATTTGGCAGTGTCTGTGACTGACTGTCTAACCTGCACAGAACTACATGCTAGGCCTGCAGTCTACATGAACTTGCAGTCTCACAGTATACCAGTTCCTGCTGCCTTTGATTAGGTGACATAGATGTGACCTGCAGGTCCTTATTCACAAGGAAATCGCTGGCTCAAAAATTCCTTAGCTTTTGCCAATTGTTCAACCAAATTCATTAGCATGGTTTAGCTCTATTTCCAGGACTGCTGAAATTCTAACTGAGAAGCAGGGAGGGGAATCCGCAGCCACAAGGGCATTCGCATTCAGAATTTTCTAACCTTCCAGCTTCTCTTACATTTTGCCTTACATCTAACGTAGGGGGATAATCGGGAACATACATGCACAGATTCAATCTGAATGTGGCATTTTGGAGGAAAACCCCAGTTGGGTACACGAGAGTGTGTTTCGGCTTCGCTAGAAGAGAAGTAGTTATGCATTATGCATGGGCTATAAAGACATTTTTTGGTAAGCCTTACTTTTAAATGTTTGAATTTTAGAACTTAAAATGTTCCATGTGTTTAGTAGTTCTTGTTCAGCTACACTAAAGAAAAGTGGTCAAAAATTCAGTCTCAGCATATGTGTGGTGTTATTTCAGGAATGTTTAATATATTATTATTTCTGGAGCTATGGAGTTTGTGAACACGGCTTTTACGTTCATTACTGGCTGTAGCCAAGGGGTCATTTATTGAGTACCTACTGTGCACGAGGTCCCGTTTTACGTAGGAAAGATACAAGAGCAAATAAAGCCCACGCATCAGAGGGAACAGGCCACAGATGAATCTATAAATAAATATAACGTAATGTCAGGTAATGAAGAAATCCTTCTTGCTTTAAGCCCAGGATGGAGATGTGGGTGGGGCTACTGTTTTCGAGAAAACGCCTCTCCCCTGAAGTCCCATTTGAATAAAGACCTTAATGGATCATTTGGTTATCTGGGGAAGAAGTGTCCAAGCAGATGGAGTGCCCCAGGCACTGCTGGAGTTCCTGGAAAAGCCTGAAGGCCATGTGCAGCGAGAGGGATAGCTAGTAATCGGAAATGAGGTCTTACAGGAAACCATATGTCATAGGGTTCCTGGTGTCCCCGAAGTGAAAGGGCCATCGAGCCCAGTTTCATTTTCTGGAGGTTCAAACAATGAGAATGCATTGCAACGGAGAGCCTGCTACCAAACTACAATCTCATTAAGTTTCACTTTACTCCAGATAAAAATGGGATATTTGGTGTTTTATCTCCTGGGCCCATTCACCTAGGCATTTCTCCTCCCTGAAATGTCCTTCTTGACTCCTCTCCCTATGTAATTTCTCCCATATTCCAAAGCGTAATTTAAGCTCTGCCTCCCATTAAGGATGTCCCCCTAACTGGGGATGCTCTGGCTGACCGAGAGTGGCTCTTCTGGCTCTGCGACTGGAGGCTTTTCCAGGACTTCCTCACCACCTGCAGACTGGCGTTCAGGGGAACTCTGGAGTGGCAAATTGAAACGCTGGTGTGGATAGTTCTGTGTGTCTTTCAGGCAAGGGTATTCCTAAGTACCATGAGATTGTAAAATGAACCCCTGACTTTAAAAGATTGAGAACCACTGCCCTTGACCCAGTGCTTCTCCAACATTGTGTGTGCACACGAAGCACCTACATTGCATTGAAATGAAGATGACAGTTCAGTAGCCCTGGAGTGAGGCTTGGTGCTGCTGGTCCCACGGCCACGCTTGGCGGCACGATGCTAGAATAGTCCCCGCCAGCGCTGGCGTGCACACACTGGCATGTTGCTCTGCCCCTTAAGTACACTGCAGGTTTCTGGACAGCAAGGGTGCTGCTGACACTTCTTGGCTCTTTTCCTACAGTTGGGGCTCATAGAAAAATATGCACTGTCAGGCCGGCCAGATGCTTGCTCTACAGACATTAGTGTGTTCATTGAACCCGAAAGAATATCTTCTCTATGTCCACTTCCTTCGTGTCGCTTAGGCTTCCAAGGTTACCACCAGGTTTTCAAGGCTCAACTTTTCCGTAATACGGAGCAGAATCCCAGAACCCCTAAAATCTTCCTCGGACAAACCTTTTCTTCCCCCATAAATGAAATAAAGATCCAACAAACCTCAGAGCCTTCAGAGTTAGTACATGAAATGTTCTCACTTGGAAGGATAATTCACTGTATATATATATACATATATACACATATACATGTACATATACATATACATGTATACACACACACACACACACACAAGGGCATTCTCCCTGAGGACCTTCAGTATCAAGAAGATGGCCAGTACAGATAAATAATGTGGAGCATCAAAGAGACCAGGATAAATCAAATCAGCACCACTGGCTCTTGAAGGGGCAGGTTCTGGATAAACTGTTTAGAGCCCAGAAGGGAAGTCTCACAAAGGGCAGAAAGGGAACATTTCTAGAAGGTGAGGAATGGTGTAGGAAAACAAAAATGGGTTTTGGGGATAAAATAGCTACCCGAAACAACCTGCCACCCTCCATTTGCACAAGCTGTAAAAGAGGTTATTTACTTAGTCATGTGGACAAAGTGTTTTTAACAGCAGCTAACTATAGAGCAAATGAAAAAAAAAACTTTTTTACACGTAAGACATGTGTGAAGAATGTCTTCGTGTGTGCAAAAGAAATTTTTCATGTGGTATTTAATAAATATATACACATTTTATTTGTACTTATAAAAATACCACATGCAATGAAAGCTATGCATAAATATTTGTAAAAATCCCTTTATCTGAGTAGGCCAGTAACATTTAACATTTTTCAATAAATCCATACATAAAATATATACATTAGTGCCAAATGGAACATATATTTTGAAATATGAACCCCGAGTAAAAGTCTTAGGAATCTGGAGTAAAATCCAGGTATCTGCCAAAGGAAACTTTGGAGGAGTTGTCATTTGAAGAAAAGAAACAACGCAGGGTCCCTTATCTCCCTGGACTGTTTTGCTGGTCAGATTTCTAACATCACTTCAGCTGAGCTTTGTATTTGACTTCCAGCCTCACGGCCATTTGACCTGTCAACTATTATTTTCTTTGAGGGTTTTACCACTCCACCCAAGACCTTTGCTTTCCAGAGCAGTTGCGTCCGTTTCCTTTTCACTTCACCTTAACGTCAGCCCTGGTTTACCACGCCGGCTTAAAGTGCATCCTCTAAGGTTTCAGACCCGGGGGGCTTCGCCGCCGTGAGGACCTGAAGCTGACAGCGCTCTGGAAAGTCAAGGTCCTCTGCAGGGTATCTGCTTTGTGCCAGGATTTCCGTCCAACCTGAGCGTCCCAGGGCCCCGGCCAGGCCCGGAGCGCCCGATACGCCCCCCCTGCCCCGGGTTCCAGCCGCCTCCCCAGGCCGACCGTGCGGGCTGGGACCTCACAGCCGGAAAACGCCGCCCTTTCCTGTCGCCTACTCATTAACCCAGGCGGAGGACTCAAGAAGGAAGAGACGGAGACGGATTAAGAAAATTAATTAACCCGGTCCAAACTGGGCCTCCGGGCGGAGGGGCGGGGCGTGCCGCGGCGGTCGCCGGAATGACCGGCGGGCGCAGGTGCCTCCAAGGGCGGAATTTTAGGCTCCCGGGCCGGCAGCTGCGCCACTTGCGCCTCGTCGCGCGTCGGGGGCAGCCGCCACCCGCCTGTTCCAGCCTCAGGCAAGTCTCTTTAGGGACCCCGCGGGAGAGGAAACACCTCCCCCTGGACTGGAAAAACCTGCAGCGTCGGCTGTTCGCGTGCCCACTTGCTCAGCCCGCAGCCCCGAGCGTCTCCAGTGCGCCAAATCCACTCTCCGGGTTTTGGCAGCAGCTCCAAAGGGAGCGAGCTGGAAACTGACAAAACAAGACCTTTCCCCCGAGCCAGGGCTACGAGTGGCTGGGGGACCCGCGGCCGGGGAGGGTCGGCGCGGTCAGGTGGCCCAGCTTTCCCGAGAGTCACCCGCCCGCTACACCCTAGCTTCGCCGGGCTAGATCGGCTTGTTGGGACGAGGAGAGGTGGGCGCAAGAGGTTTAGTGCAGGTGTCCAGGGTGCGGGCGGAGTCCCTTTGTCCTCGGGCACCCAGGCGCTAGCACCCGGGGGGGGGGGGGGGAAGTCCCTCTTTGAGGGAGCTCGCGCTAGCTTCCCGCGACCTCTCTTTGTGCAGAGGGAGCCCTACGCAGCTCCTCGTAGGGACGCCGCATCCCTAAGGGTGGCGCCCGGGTGGTAACAATGGGCGCCCATTGTACTCCCGGGGCCCGCAGGCGCTGCCGCTGCTGACCCCCTCCCGCTCCTCCGGGCCCCGGCGCAGGTACAGCGGCGGCGTGGGTCTTTCGGGGCCGCGCGCACCCTCCGCCCCGCCCCGGCCCGCCCCCTGCGCCGCCCGCCCCGCCCCGCGCGGCCCCGCCCTTCACAGGTTCAGGCTCAGCGTCCGGCAGCCGCGGGCTTAGTCCGGCTCGCATCTTCCTACACCGCTGAGGCCGGAGTCTGTCGGGAGCGCAGCGGCGCGGCGGGGCGGGAGCGGGGGCCGAGCCTGGAGACCCGCGGCCTCCGGCGCCTTTACGCCCACTCGGAGTGGATAGTGCTGTGAGGTGCCTCGCGGGCCGCCTCGGCTGGATCTGCGGGTAACGGGCTGGGACTGCGTGTGCCCTCGGGAGGCGTCTGTGCGGGGCGTCCCGCCCAGGGGCAGCGGCTGGGATCGTCTGGGTTGCCGGTGAGTTGCTGCCTGCCCAGGGCTCCTTCCTCTCTGCCTGTGAGTCTGTGCGACCCGCGGTCGTGGCCGCTTCCGGCGTGCGCGGGGTGCTAGGCTTGGAAACGCACAAGGAGCGGGGATACGGGGAGCATCGCCTTACCAGCTGGGGTCCAAGGGACCAAAGGGGACGTAAAGCAGACGGGGAGGGGTTCGGGTGGCACGATCGAGACGCAGAGCTCCACCATTTGTGCCCACCACTTTTCAGGGTGGGGCTGCACGGCTGCACTGCACCCTCCGAGCTATTTTGACAGCCATTCTGGGCGCGTATTCCATTTTTCCATCTCAGAACAAGCTGCACATGGCTACCGCCCCCCTCCCATCGTGGAATGGCACCAGGGCCGCACATGGGTGCCCCGTGCAGATCTTCGATGGCACTATCCGCCGGGTACCCTCTCACTTGACAGGGGGCATTGTGGCTGGAGCTCCAACCTGCAGATCTGGCAGTTTAATTATTGTTATTATTATTATTATTATTATTATTATCATTATTTGACGGTGGTTCTGAATGGCTGAAGCGTTTTCAAGATTTTTTTTCCACCTTGGAACTGTCTTGACACAGACAAGTATCAGACACGTGAGGACGAATGGATCTGGCCAGTAATTTTTTTGTTATGAATTATTGTACTCCATCCCCCTCTCGACTTCGAGAGGCATGTGTTTCATCTTATAAATAGAAAGTAGCATATTTTTTGGCAGGACCTCCTTTATACTGTACAGTCTAGGAGAGGTCAGTTTAAAAATAAATATGCACTTGAATGTTGAATTGCCGAGAGCCAAGCTGTGGCTGGGACAAGCTGCGTGGACAGCAGCATCAAAGCCCGGAGCGCAGCTGTGTTGAAAAGAGTAAAAGCCCCAGAGCGCAGCCCAGGCTGACAGTCAAGTAATTACATTTTGTTTAAAAAAAAAAAAAAAAAAAAAAGTGAGTGAATTAAAATGAGGGCGGGAATAGGAATGTCAGGAGAGTACTGCAACATGAATCTTTGCAGCCCTGATGTATTTGGGGGAGTCGCTGCTTATGTGTGCTGAGGGTGTAGGGGGTTCTGGAGAGGGAGGTGCTTGGAAGGGGGAGGGAATTGATGACTGTGTTAGGGAGACAAAGATTTCCTCCCCACCCCCAACTTTTAGGCCTCACAATATTCCAGAGTTTCTTAGGGGTGCTGCTTTTTAAACAGAACAAGAAATTTGGAGTGCAGCAGATGTCCGTGTTTGAATAGCAAAGCCAGTCTTGCAGACTTCCCCTTAAGATCACAAGGAGACAAAAGGCTTACCATGAAGTCTGATGATGGGGTATCCCTAAGGCTATCTAAAAGGCTTCTATAACATTCTAACTTAGAAAAGATCGTTTTTGTATCTGAAAATCAAGAAATGCAACGTCTCTTCTTTTCTGGACAGTTCTAGAGGTCTTCTCTCTGATACCACCTGTAATTTGCACGAGCCCTTCTGGGCAGTTAAATAAGCTAGACAGTATGTGTGTGCCACAAACCCTTTTCAGAATAGATTTATACACTCAAGAGATACGTCGGGGCAGGTTTGAAGTGCCTCGCATGGTCACACCTGGCATAAATAACCGACTATTTGGATAGTCAAGGGATGGTTGAAAGTTCTTCATTAAGTCTCCCAAAGAATGTAGATTTCCCAATCATACTCACTGAATACAACGCTGAATACCAGCCTCTGGGCCCGAAGATAAGAACTTTACAGAAATTTGGAACTGTTTCTGGATCCATGGCAGTTTCTGTTTTCCAGTGGTATCATCTGCAAGAGATTTACATTATGAATTCCATGATTGGAACGTGGTGCTGTGACAGCAGCTACAGACATGAAATAAGATGAGCGCCACCCCCCCTCCTTCCAAATCTGAGCAGTGAAATTCTGTTCTCTGTCTGAATGTAACATGTAAAGACCGCTAAAGTAAGGAGAGTTGCACTTTTTTTTAATTGTAAATTTAAATGTGCAAGAGGAATAAATACAAAGCCATGGGCTCACATGAGCTGGTTTGTGTCTCTCCAGCTTTTCCTTTAATGTGGTGTTTTGTTTTTTATGTCCAACGTGTTCACAAAAGCGGCCCTTTTTCTCTTCTGACGTTCATGGTATTCAACAGCAATGGGGATAAGGTAGTTTTAACCTGTATCACCCACAGATTCTTACCAGCCTATAAATTTTTCACAAGCTCTGTGCCCAGTAGCCATTGCATGTATCCAGTGGGTGAAGTGCAATACCTAACCTGAAGAAACCCTCCAGAAAGACTGTTTTGATGTTTTCTTTTTAATTATTAAAATTCTTATTTGCAGTCTAATTTCGTTTAGGCCTGGCCTAATTTGTTTCTAACCAGACTCCTGTAGACCCGACTATTCATTGAATAAGAACCTCAATCTATTTTTAAATACAGTATGGTTGCCAGAGAACAAGGATAGTCATTTGAAACTAGTAGATTGAGCCAGCTACAAAATCTCCTTTACCAAGTGCTGGAGCCCAAGAATTCTGCTAAAACGTCATGCTGTTCAGGACTTTGGATGATAAAGGCACTTCCTACATGGAGCCTGTCCGAAATGCCAAGCAGTCTTCTCAGCCCTTCACCCTGGTTAACTCATTTATTTCTAGTAATCATTCTATGAAGGAGGAACTGTTAATATCCCCATTTTATGGGTGTGGAAGCTGGGGACAGACCTGTTCTATACGTGCCCCAAATTACACCAAAAGGAACATACCTAATATGCATATACAGTTTAACAACCCAATGTGTGCATGTAGGAGTGGCTAATCTTGCTTGCATGTCAGCACCTCTTAAGGGCAAGGAGATGGGGGGGGGAAACCCTGAGGTTAAGAAACCTCTCTGAGTCAGGCTGCCTGAGCTCATAGCCTAGCTCTGGCTCTTAATACTTGTGTAATTGGGCAAATTACTTAGCCTGTGTGCTTCAGCTTACCAATTATGCAATGGGGATAATAATATTACTCAGAGGATGAAATGAATTTAAAAAAGAAAAAAACAGTAATTCACTCAGAACAGTGCCTGATCCAGAGTAAGTACAATAAAAGGTTGATGCTTCCTTGTTGCTTTTATTTTTTTCCCAGGTGCTTAATAAATACTCTCTTATTTAATATTCATAACTACTCTTTAACACAGAGAGTATTGTTTCAAGATGAGAACACGGCTTCAGAAAGGTTTAGTAACTTGGCCAAGGCCACACAGCTAAGTAGCTGAATCAGGTCTGGATTCAAGTCTATTTGACCTTGTACTAAATACCACACCCCCACCACCTGGGAGGACTGGCAGTAAGGCTATTAAATCTGACTCTTCTGAGGGGTTTTGGCCTCCAGCAGAGAATTCATTTCATAGTACTCTATATTCAAAGGAAAATGGTAGTAATTGCCAGCCTTTGGGGATACCGGGTGAATTATTTCATTTTTGAAGATAGTTTAATCTCACAGGTATGGCCATAGTCTTCTCCTGCGGGGGATCCAGAGTCAAACCGCTAGAGTTAACGTGAGCATTTAATTTATACCATAAATGAGGAGATTTGCTATTGCTATGTGAAAATGTAGGACTCAGGAAGGAGGAAAGAAAAAAAGGCCCTGCAACATCTAGGTGCCAGGAACTTCTGGGACCAAGGATGGAGTGGAGCTTAGAGAGGACCACAACCCTGCGTTGATGTTCAGGAGAACCGGGGCTGCAGTGTTCCATAAGCAGTCTGGATGGTCCCGTCCTTCAGGCCAGTGTCCACACCCAACGGTGCCTGGCCCTTCAGTCCCTGGCACCCAATGGACATTAATACCTATTTCATAATGACACTGCTTCGGGAGAAGCTAAGCAAGAGGCAGGAGCCGCCAATAAACTGGGCAGGAAGGTTCTGTCCTTGGTGGAAGGTGGGCCTCCTTCTAGTTCTGCACCTGCCCCGGACCCTGCCAGATAAGCTTCTGGTGGGACAGACAGAGTAAGGAAGCCTTTGAAACTTAAGAGAGGTACCCTGGATCAGCCTGCCTGCCTCTACTGCCTTGGACTTGTGGGATTGTGATTAGGAGGGGACCCAGACCGAAGTAGGGGTTCTGGAAAGCATGGCCCAAAGTAACTTACATTGCCTCAAAACCAAGAGCAATAGCCTTCAAGCTGTTGGCTTCCATTTGGAATCTTCCCTTCTCCTGCCCCCACCCTTTAATGGTTACAAAACAAAACAGCACCCCACAAACCAAAATAATATAAGTAGCCAAATAGTTATGTAGCGATAGTAGGGTATTTTTCTTTCCTAAAAAAAAAAAAAAAAGCCTTGCTTGGCCTTGATATATTTCCTCAGTGCCAAGTTCACCAGTGTCTCATGATGAGGGGCCGAGTTCGACAGTACCTCTTGTTTCATTTTTAAAATGAAAACCCATAGTTTTAAAATATGAATCATGATACTGATATTTTAAAAGTTTACTGTTTCTGAATAGCCAGGCGAACTGAGGCATTTCAAAGTTGGTAAATTCCAAATTAGTAGTATTTGATTAATCCTTATTGCTGGCTAAAGTCATGAATGAATAGTAGAAGCCTTGACTCTCAAATATGAAATTGAAAGAACCTGATTTTCAGGGGTTTGGCTTTTGTTTGCATGTTTGAAAAAGTCACTATTCGTCTTCTAGCCTTTGATTCTTTGTTAAGCCATGTTGCAGTGATAACACATCTGCAGTTAGCTAGCATAACACCACCTAACTTGCACCCTGAGATATGAATGGCATCAGAAAAGGATTGTTTGGGAAACTGGTTTGACTAAGGTCCCTTTCTGCAGGACTTCTCAGAGCATTTAATATGTCACTGTGTTCGTAGAGTCTCCACGGGGAGACAGTGTCCAGAGTCTCAAATCATTAGCCCACAGAGCAACCGGCAGGAGTGGTCTGGCAGGCAACCCATTCTGGGAAGCAGCAAGCCAGAGGCTGAAGCCATCCACTGCAGTCTGCCCTACAGAGCTGAAGGATCCCAAGGACATTTT